TGGTGGAAGTGCCATTTTCGTAATGTCTGGGGAATTTTTGTTTGATTAGATATCATATCGTGGAAAGTAGCATTGCTGTAGTTCGTCACTGAATTTCAATATGCAGGAAAATGATCATGAACGCTGCAACTTACTAATTTAGGAAGAAAGATAAGTTATTTCGTAAGTGGAGCAAATGGTACATTTGCTAAAACATAAACTAGCTGTGCAAAATCTCTCAGTATTATGAGTCTTATTTTCAGCAGTTAGTACATGATGAAATCGTCTGTTCATCAATGAGCAGCATCAGCGCGTACAAACAACCGGTTGAGTATCGTAAGTGGCTTCAGCATTATGGGTAAGTAGCATCACTGAGAGAAGTACAATTAGCATTGTTCGTAAATGTAGAATTAGCAGTGCAAGTAATATACATTAGTCACACTAGATATGTACAACATTGTTAGTTCATAAAGCATACGTCCTTTTATTCGTGAGTAGCATTAATAATGTCATTGGTTTGTTGTGTATTTTAGTATGCTACTTTGTAACGCTTCCCAAGGAGTTTGATATTATCGCTCGTGCTTCTGTATTTTTTTAATAAACGGAATACACCCATTAGGACATTAAATAAGAAAGATTAGTTCAGCGAAGAGTTCTCTTTTCGGCGAATTCATTTTCGAAGCTGCACAATCACAAATATATATACTTATTTTTTACAGGATGATAACAATACTGATAATAAACTTGTTATACATAGTGACAGTGAGGTTAAATAAACAAAGGTATTAAAATTTTTTTAAAACAAGGAAATTTTAATAATCGTTTGATTGTTAATGGCTTAGGTATTCACCAAAAGATAGATAAGGAAATTATCATTGGGAAAGGATGGCTCAGCATGATAAAATAAAATGTTGAAACAGGGATAAAATGTAATTGGAATGATCGTGGAAATAAAAACAAACCAGTTGGGGGTAGAAGATTTAAAGGGAAGATGGAAGGTGAAGCAGATGGTTGTAAAGGAACAAGAGTATGATAAAAAGAAAAATTTTAATACATCAAGACCATGGTAGAAAAAGAGGTTGTACACACAATTCTGGTTTTTCCAGATGTATGGCTATTGCTTCGGCAATGCAAAGAAGATGCAGTCTAATTGTCTTAGGAAGACTTCTACATACCTTGATGACTTTGAACGCAGAGTCTGTCTTGATTGAATGACCTGTGTTCACAAGGTGTTCGATTATAGAACTTCTTATTGAGCCGTTGCCTCTTCATTTTAGCCACGCCGGATAATGTTCTTGAATTCTTTTGGATAAAATACGCATCGGACGACCTATATACCTAGTTTCACAAGAGCAGGTAAATGCAAATTGAGTTGGTCAGATGCGATAATTTATTTTTCAGACTATTGGTGAACAATGATCGGCTGGAGAATAATATTCGCAATGTTGCTGCGAAGAATGTTCTTCTTAAGGAATCCGAAATTCTTCTTTTTAAGATATGTGGCTCTATCAGCTTTGAAGTCGATGTTCATGTATAGTTCTTTTCTACTGTAATTATTTGTTTTTGGCTTCATGTTCCTATCAATGAATATCGAAGGACAGCCCTCTTTGATAAGTATCTCCTTTAAAAGGCCCGATTCTTCATCTACGACCTCGGGGCTACAGATTTTTCGTATTCTTGTAGCGAGTGTTATTTTTTTTTCGGCTGATGGGAACCCAGCTGTAGAAATTTGATAGTTGGCCATTCCACATATATAACAAGTTTATTATCAGTATTATTATCATCCTGTAAAAATAAGTATATTTGCGATTGTGCAGCTTTGAAAATTAATTCGCCGAAAGGAGAACTCTTTGCTGAACCAATCTTTCTTATTTAATGTCCTTCTGGATTTTCGCGTAATAAACTTCCCTGTTCGCACTTCGACTTCTCTCTCTAGTTAGAGCGTTGGGGACGCAATAGAATAACTATTTTATTGGTCACAAGTCTTTGTTCCGTCTAAATGAACTCATAGTCGCCTCAAACCTATAGCATTAATAAAGATTATTAATGCTACTAACGAATAAAAGGACGTCTGCTTTATGAATTAACAATGAGCGTGACTACAATTTCTGGACGAACCAGATTTATGACAAGTCTTGGATTTCGGCGCGAAATTCACTCACTCATTTGGCTAAATAGTCTTGACATTATAGCTCATGTCAGTTCGTGATGAAAACCCCAAATATAATTCCTAACCCTCAACTGTAAATCATGATCCTTATTCTTCAAAGTGCCTTATAACCCTCATTTAGCCCTAGTAAGTAGGTAGACACTCTCAAGGTCACTTCAGTGTTTCTCAAAA